AAATATAATTTATAATGGAAATAAGTAAAAGTGTAAGCCTTAATTCCAAGGTTCTTTTATATAATTCTAGGAAAAAAGAGAACGTTGGTTTAGGAGCTATCTTGCCGGGATTCCCTAATTTTGGCAGAGAACAAAAAGCAAAAATCACTCCTACGAATATTAAGACTTTCTGATCCTAGCTACCTGTTTTTGTGCTGGTGCAGATAAAATAATGGAGAAACAATAATGTTAAATTCATTGCGTTTTCTTATTAAACGTACAAGATTACCTTTCTCGGATGGTTGCAATAAAAATACCTTTTTCCACTTATACTGAATTATACTTTTATTGTTTTGACTAATTTGTATCGAGAGATCAAGATAATTTGTAATCGAGTCATTCTTGGATTCGAAAACCGATGTCTGTGGAACATTAAATAAAATGACAGGTCGAAAGGTAAAATGAGATGGTCAAAAAGATGATGATTTTAATAATTAAATTTCTGATTTATCTTCAAAAAAGAACGGTCTGTTATTATACGTGGACAACTAATTCCAGCCGATTTTGCCATTTTTCTTTTGGGCTTGGCATTTTTTTGACGTTTCACATGTAGTTGTTAGTTCGAAAACAGGCATACAGTTGGAGACAAAATACTTTGGTCGTCACTTTTCTGACACTTTAATGTAATTCAAGTTTTAACGTTAAAATGAATGATAATTTCAAATTAATTACAGCTATTATATTTTCCTATCAAAAATATTTATGTACTTACATACAACTTGTCAACTATGATTGATAGTAGTTAAAAATATGGTTAACAGTCCTAAAGCATGCTTTACAATTTAATGTCACTCAAGCGACATTGACGACCAAAGTATTTTGTCTCCAACTGTACGTTTTCGAGTCCTTGATCAAAAGGGTTTCAAAAAAAGTGGCGACCGCGTTGCGGCGGTAAAAGGCAGGGAGTAGGATTTTCATTACTTTTAAAATTTTAATTTTTGCAAAAACGCTTTAGAAGTTGAGTTAAAATTTAATATAAAACCCGTCAAATGACATGAAATGGCTCGTCAAAATTAGAGGTTAAAAAATTATAAAAAAAATTAACGCATTTTGCACAGTGCTATACAGAAAAGTTGATTGATTATCTTGGCTAATGATTGAACAAATTTGTTAAAAATTTTAATAAACCTTGTCTTAGGCACTTTTATCTTTTTTCTAGGAAAACATTATTAGCAAAAATTGTTTTAAAAATTACAAATTACAACCTATATTTTAAAGTGAAACTTTTATTACATCGCCTCAAAATTTTTCGTCCACCTATCATCGCATGTCGCATTACAGCCGGCCGCGGAGTAGCGGTAAAGTGAAAGGCGCTCGGCAGAGCAGCCAAGGCCAACATGGCCTATAAAATAAAATTTAAATAAAATAAAATAAAATAAAATAAAATAAAATAAAATAAAATAAAATAAAATAAAATAAAATAAAATAAAATAAAATAAAATAAAATAAAATA